ATCTGTATTCGAACTTTTTATCTCCATATCTGATGAATATGTAGGGAACTGATTTATCATCTAGCTTGATTCTTTACTCTTTCGGTAGATCTGCAAAAGCTTTGCAACTGAACACCTTTAGATGCTAGTAGGACATCTCCTTGTTGGTCCAAAATCTCTCCAGAATGTCAAACTCCAATTGAACTGACGGACTACGATTGATAAGATAACATGTTATTCGAACTACTTCACTCCAGAGTGACTTAGGCAATTTAGCCATTCTAAGCAGCTTACCACCTTTTTAACAATGATGTGATACATTCTCTATGCTACACCATTGTGTTTAGAGTTGTCAAAATGGACTGGTACAACCCAATCCTAACGGGCTAGAGAGTTAAACGGGTTTGGACGATCTGACCCTTTTAAATTAAAGGCCTATAAAATAACAGTCAACCCAGCCCTTAGCGAGCCACAGGTTGGGACGGGTCGGCCATTCAACTAAAAAATGAACCTTGATTTCTTAGAAATAATATCTAAGAGTATCGAATGTTGATTTATGATGAACACGACATCAATACATACAAAAATTCATTTATTAGAGACATTCAATAGAAGTAACTAATACATACATATAGTTTTGGTACTAAAAGTCAATATTTTTTCTCATTATTCCCCAAATAAAATTCTATCTCTCACTAAGTTTTGTCATACTGATTGTGTTAATTATTTCAAAAAGAAACTTGTTCCTCGTATACTGAAATAATCCACCATTAAAAAAATAACATTATATGATACACATGCTATCATACATCAAGAAAATAATTAAGAAAAAAAGATGATATATATGAAACTATCACAAAAGATGAACTCGATTAGGACAAAATTCAGCTCATTTTTGGAGAAGACATAAATTAGAAAATGATAGATGCTTACATGTATCAATATGGATCTTGAAATTAAACTTCGAATAAGTTTGGAATGATTTGTTGAACTCGAATTTGTATTGTTAAACATTAAAACTTCAAAACTGTAATGCCTAAAATGAAAGAGAAAATCTGCTAAGTTAAGGACAAAAGAGAATATAAAATATTATAAACATATAATAAAAATTATAATGAATCAAAACCCTAGTGAAATAATGGATTTGGGCTAATAAGAAAATTTAGTGGGCTAATGACCCTAAAATGTAAAAGATCAGCAAAGGAGTTAGACTTGATTTTATATTTTACAAATATTTATTGACAAAATATTTACAAATAAAACACTGCTTAGAATATATATATAGTAAATATTTTTAACAATTAATAGCCCACGTGCTGGCCTCTAAGGCTCGTAGGTTGGGCCTACAAGGCTAGCGGTCCAAATGAGGTTGGGCTAAAAAGCCTCGTTCCTAAATGAGTTAAAAAAAATTAGGCCCAACCCCACTTAATTCAAGGGTTGGATTGGACCGACTTAACAGACTAACCCCATTTTGACAACTCTAATTGTGCTGTGGGGTTTCAGAAATTGTCTGTCTTTTCATGTTTGATTCCATGGTCTGAGCAATACTCTTCAAATTCTCTTGAAGTGTACTCACCCCCATTGTAAGTTCAAAGACGTTTTAGCTTTTGACTCATCTCTCTGTCTACCAGAGCATGAATTTTTTGAAATACTTGAAACATCTAATCTTTGGTTTTCAAGATATAAACCTGCAATTTTCATAAAGCATCATCAGTAAAGGCAACGAAGCATTTATTACTGCCCATCGATTCAATCTCCATTGAATCAAAAAAATCAGAATATACCAAATCAAGTATTTTCAATTTTCTTTCGGATGATGTCTGAAATGAGATGCTACGTTGCTTACCAAATAAACAGTAGTTACAAGGTTTTACCTTTGTACCTTTGGCAAAAGAGATGAGTGATTTTTTGGCAAGAATTTGCAATCCTTTCTCGCTCATATGACTTATTCTTTTATGCCACAAATCTGCAGAAATATCTTTGTGAGTCGCATTCAATTCACCTTGACATATTTCTGCATTTATCTTGTACAACGTGCTACGAGTAACTCTTTTTGCAAGCACCAATGCCTCTTTGGTGAGTCTCTGTTTTTTATTTGCAAAATAGTTATTGTATCTATCACGGTCCAAAGCAACTCCCGAGATCAAGTTCATCCGCAAATCAGGTACGTGGTGCACATCTTTCAAAATCAACGTGCATCTGACATTTGTCTTAATGCAAATGTCTCCAATCCCCGCAATCTTTGAGTAACTAGTGTTATCCATTTTCACATTACCAAAATCACCCGCTACAAATTTGGAAAAAAAATCTCTTATCGGTGTAGCATAGTAAGATGCTGCTGTGTCAACCACCCATTCTGACTCTATACCTGCAAGTGCATGCATTCCTCTTCCTCGTTTATGAATAGAACATATTGCTATTATCTTGTACCATGACAATTGTGTTGTCATTTCTAGCCACTATTTTATTCTTTGCTCCTTTTTAGATTCGGACAATCTCTTTTGAAGTGACCTAGTAGATCGAAATTGTAGCAATTTTTTACTTTTGATTTTGATTGGACTTTGAACTTTTCACGTTCTTCGAATCTACAGTAGTTACTCAAACTTCTTTGGTAACTCCAACCTTTACTTTCTGTCATAAGAGCCTATCCATGGATTTCAGGTTTTTTTCTTATCTGCTCATTAAGTAGAACAACTGATGTGACATCCTTCAGCTCAATAGAGTCTTTACCATGTAAGATGGTTGTTGCCAAATTATCATAGAAAGATGGCAACGAGTTTAGGAGCACTATGCCTTTATCTTCCTCCTCGATCTTTACTCCGAGGTTTGCTAGCTGCGTGATTAGACCATTAAGCACATTTAAATGGGACAAAATATTTGTACCTTCACCCACATGTAACGCGTATAACTGTTTCTTTAGGTACAATTTATTTGTCAGCGTTTTGGACATATATAGACTTTCTAACTTTACTCAAATGCCACATGCATTTTCTTCATCGATGATGTTATTAACTACATCATCAGTTAAGTGCAACCTGATTGCACTAGCAACATTTTCATCCATTTTTTCCAATCCGCAAGTTTCATGAATTCTGGATTTTTGGATTTTCCACTAGTGCCTTGTGCAAATTCATCATTTTTCACATTTTTCTCTGTCACGTTGAGAAACCACTGACATCGTTGAATTTTCTTACCTTGTACTTTACTCCAGACATTTTTTCTGTCACTAAGTATAGTACAAGAGATTGCAAGAAATATTTATGTGAATGGGCAGAACTTGTGCTCTGATATCAATTGTGGGGAATCAATTCGAATAAAAAGAATAAAAAGAGCAATAATGACATCAAGATTTTACGTGGAAACCCTCTTGAAAGAAAAATAACGGCCCGAGATGAGCAACAAAAATAGGAATTTTACACTTATAGGTCTGAGTATAAACTTCAAAGACCACTACACACTCAAAAGAAATAACCTCCTTTGATTTTTTCACCTCACTACAACATCGCTTGCACTCTCTATTTTTCCTCAAACTATTTCCCTCTGTGATGCCTCACTCTTCTTTTCTCTCTGTTTTTGGTGTATTTGAGAATGAAGAATGACCATCCCTTTTTTTAGAGGATAAATGCAGTAGCCTCCAAATATGCTACGGAAGAAAAACATTTTTTTTCTTTCTTCACAACTTACCAACATTTGACTTTAAGGAAGAAGAAATACATCAAATCCCCCCTAAACTTGGCTGCAAAACTTACTTTAATACTTTAACTATACGGGCATTCAAATACCCCCCCTAAACAGGGGCGGACCCACATAGTCAATTTTGGGTGCTCGAGCACCCATTGACTCCGGAAAATTTTTTGTATATATATATATATAGAAAATATGATAAATACGCTATTAAAGAAAAAAAAGCACCCATAGAACAATAGCAGTCGTGGGTGCGCTGGTTAACAATTGAAAAATAATGCGCGCGAAGCATGAGGGCGAGTGTTCGAATCCCGTTAGCCCCATTCTTTTTTTTTTTACTTTTTTCAGCGAATTTTGCACCTTTTTTTTTACTTTTCCTTTTTTTAATTAAGGGCTTATTTTACTCCGAATTTTGTACTTTTTCTTTCTTTTTTTTTTAACTTTTTTTTTTTTTTGGTCTAAATTCGGAGCTCAAAGCTCTTTTTTATTTAAATAATTCTGTACAAAAATTGGGCCAAACAAGCCCAAATAAAAAGGAAACAAAGAAAAGGACAGAACAAGAACGTCTAGACTTTGGGCCCTTTCCATATTTTCTATGCTTTAAAACATTTTCCACTGCCCACTTTTGTGGGATTTTTTCTTTTAACAAAACAAGGAAATCATTCTTCTTCTTCTTCTTGTTTCAAAGAGAAAGCAGCCAGCCCAACAACAAACTGCAAGCTTTTTTCTTTTCAAAGTCAAAATACAAAAGCAAGGTAATAAGATTTGATGTTTGATTAAAGTTAGATAATGAAAAAAAAGGGTTAGGGAAATTAGGTTTTGTTATTTTTATTGCTTATGGCTAGTACTCTTTAAGTCTTAATTCTTAAAATAGATTTCACATACTTTTTTTGTTACTTGATAAATAGATTTAGACTTTAGAGTCTCACATATTTCGTGTTTTGTGATTAAAAATACATTTTTTGAATACTTTTGAAATAATTTTTTTTCTTACCAACTTACTTGATTCAAAAATTAAATTTTAGGATGTATACAAATAACAAATTGTGCAATTGAAAATTTTGTGCTCATTGACTCATATATTGCTAATTATTGCTTGTGGTGTTGAAAGATCAAATAGATATATTAATTGTTGTTTGGGTTGTTGATAGAAAGTTATAGATTTCAATAAAAATTAATTGAATTATGTGAATTAATTATATGAAAAATTTGAATTTTGTTTTGCAGGAAATGGAATATAATCCTAATATACGTGATGATATTAGGAGATATTATATTCTTAAAAAGCCTTGCCAACCTAAGGATCATAAATTTCCTAAACTAAGTTTGGGAAGGAAATGCGGCAATTTTTCCTGATTGGTTTAATGGTCGTAAGTGGTTGGAGTATAGCATAACAAAAGATGCTGCATTTTGTTTGTGTTGCTACTTGTTTAAAAATGAATGTGAAAGTCGTGGATATGTGATTGATGCTGCTTTCACAAAGACTGGCTATAGAGCTTGGAACAAAGCTACTGAAAGATTTAAAGCTCATGTTGGAGATATAAATAGCATCCACAACAAGTGTTTCAACAAGATGCTTGATTTGATGAATCAATCACAGTCAATACGCACTTCCTTTGATAAAAAGTCCAAAAAAGAAAAAAGTGAGTCTCGGCGTCGCTTGAGTGCTTCAGTTGATGTGACAAGATTTCTCTTGAAATTAGGATTATCATTCCGTGGACATGATGAGAGTCGATCTTCTTCAAATAGAGGTATTTTTCTTGAACTTTTGCAATGGTATGGAGATATTAATGAAGATGTTGGAAGCATTATTTTAGAAAAAGCTCCAAAAAATGAAATGATGTGTTCTCCAAGTATTCAAAAGGATATTGTTGATTCTTGTGCTAAGGAAACAATCAAATCTATTCTTGAAGATTTAGATGGGGATTATTTTGGGATACTAGTCGATGAATTAAAGGATGTATCACACAAGGAGCAAATGACACTTGTTTTGAGATATGTTAACAAAAAAAGGAGAAGTGATAGAGCGATTTGTTGGTATTATTCATGTTAGTGATACATCTGTTTGTTCATTAAAGGAAACAATCTACTCTTTTCTTTCAGATCATTCATTAAGTCCATCCCAATTACGTGGGCAAGGTTATGATGGAGCTAGCAATATGCAAGGACATCTAAATGGTCTTAAAACTTTGATTTTGAATGAGACTCCATCGGCATATTGCATTTATTGTTTTGCCCACTAATTGCAGTTAACACTAGTGGCTCTTGCAAAGAAGGATTCAAATGTAGATGACTTTTTTTGCTTAGTTATTAATGTGTTAAATATTGTTGGAGCATCTTTTAAGCGCAGGGATTTACTTCGGAAACACCAAGCTGAACAGTTAGAGGAGTTGCTTATATCAGGGGAAGTGCATACTGGGCGAGGATTAAATCAAGAACGTGGGCTTCAGCGGCCAGGTGATACTCGTTGGGGTTCTCATTATAGAACATTAGATAATCTTATTGTTTTATTTCCATCAGTTATTCATGTGCTTGAATTTACTGGATGCGAGTGTCCAAACTATACTGATAGACTTTTTGCTAAAACTCTTGTGGATACGATTAAGAAATATGATTTTGCCTTTATGCTGCACTTGATGTGGAAAGTTCTTATGATGACAAATGAATTGAACTCCTCATTACAAAGGATGAATCAAAATATTGTCAATGCTATGAGATTTCTTGCTCTTACAAAGCAAAGATTACAAAATATGAGGGATAATGAATTTGAATCATTAATGGATGATGTCTCTTCTTTTTGTGATAAACATGATATAGTCATTCCGGAGATGGATGCTAGCTACTTTCCTGGGAAGTCAAAGCGTAAAGCTCTTGATGTTACATATTCTCCATCATTTGCGTGTTGAAATATTTTATGTTGTTATTGATTTGCATCTTCAAGAGCTTAATAATCGTTTTGATGCTATGAGTACCGACTTACTTCTCGGTATGGCTAGTTTGAATCCAGTTAATTCATTTGGTAGTTTTGATAAGGGCAAGATAATGAGGTTGGCTGAATATTATATGAATGAGTTTGACAGCAACAAGCTTCGGGATCTCAATTTTCAGCTTAATAGCGTTATAGTTTATGTTCGTGGTTCTGACAAGAGGTTCTTCAACTTGAAGGGAATTAGTGATCTTGCTAAAGTATTGGTCAAGTCAGATCTACATCAAATTTGGCCACTTATTTATTTGCTTATCAAGTTGACTCCCATTCTTCCCGTTGCTACTGCTTCTGTGGAACGAGCTTTCTCATCCATGAAGTACATTAAAAATGAACTTCGTAATAGTATTGGTGATGAATTTTTGAATGGTTGTTTAGTTTGCTATGTAGAGCGTAAGATATTCGCAAATGTAAGCAATGATGCTATTATTTATCGTTTTCAACATATGAAAAGTCGTCGAGCACAATTATGACTTTAAGACTAGAAGTCTCTTTTTGTAATGATAATATTACTAGTAGGTCATTGTGACTTATAACTAGTGGTTGTTTTTGATGATGATAATATTAATCGTTGTTTTATTTTTTTTACTTTTTTTTATTAAAGAGTTTGAGTTAGTATACGCTTACACTATGTGATTGCTAACATGTTTATGTTAAAGGAAGTGAGCACCCACAACCTTTAAATTCTGGATCCGCCACTGCCCCTAAATAACTTTCAAGTGAATTAAATACCCTCTTAATGGCTGATGTGGCAAATAAAAAAAAGAATAGCGCCTAAAAAATTAAAAATTAAAGAGAAAAAATATAATTGGGCTACTTTTATTTTCTTTTCAGCAAATAAGAATTTTTCTCTTCATCTTCCTCACACCCCACCACCCCTTGCCACCCTTAGCCATCACCTGCACCGGCCACTTCCTCATATTCTTTTTCGAACTCCCCACTTTCTTTTTCTTTCTTCGAAATCCTTCACCCTCACCCTATTTCTCTTTCTTCAAATCCTCCATCCGCAACCCTCTTTCTCCTTTTTTCGAACTCCACTCATCCCTTTCTTCTTCTTCTTCTTCTTCGATTAACTTATTTCTCCTCCTTCTTTCTCCTTCTTCAGAACACTCATACCCCTAATTATTTTCCATCACTAAATGAAAATAATTTCAAATTATTCTCACTTATTATTCTTAGATGTGATGAACAACAAAAAAAATGAAAAAATCAACAACTTATTCTTGCTTCTAGATCACTACTTATGAAGGTGTTTATTGATTTGATGAACTTAAAGCTCTTTTTAGTGAAAATTTTATAATTTTTTCATCTCAAATTAAATATTTAGTTGTAACTATGTATTTACTTTGATGATGTGCCTTAAAGATTGAATGTTTTTAGTGAAAATAGTCTTGAGATTTTTGGATCTGTGGAGTTTGATCTTTTTTGAGATTTTTACTTTTTATTTTTCTTTTTTATAATCTTGGTTTAATTTTCTTTATCTTTTTTTCCTTTCTAAAATTGTGAATTAAGAAAACAAAAAAAAGAATAAAAAAACTCAAAATTTAAATAATTATCAATGTGGCACTGACATGGCAGTGACATGGTACTGACGTGTTGATCATATGGTGCGTGTGGAATGTACTTGCCATTGTGAGACTGGTCTTATAAACTTAAGGTGTATTTAAATTCACTTGAAATGAAATTAGGGGGTAAATAATTATATGTAAAGTTGAAGTGCTTAGTAAGTTTTGTTGTCAGGTTTGAGGGGGGGGGGGGGGAGGAGTAAGCCAAGTAAATTGGCACATGTATATTCAACTTCTTCCAAAGCTTGCCAACCTTTGAAATTGTAAGATTTATCAAAGTTTGGCACATGAGGATCCATACATTCAACAAATGGCTTAAATTGGCACATGTATATTCAATTTCTTCCAAAGCTTGCCAACCTTTAAAATTGTAAGATTTGTCAAGATTTGTCAAAGTTTGGCACATGAGGATCCATACATTCAACAAATTTGTAGGTGTATACAATAAATGTATACAAGTTTTGATTGAGGTAAAACAACCTACCTGCAATATATTTCAGGTGTATACAAATTTGCAGGAGTGTTAAAATTCACCAACTTTATCTTGTTAATAATAATCAAAGAATTTAAATAAAAGTCTCACAAAAACATATCGAGACATTTAATAATTCAAAAAAATTGACAGCATTGAAGAATTTACAAACAATCTACATAAATACAAAATCATTATTCAATAAAAAAAAACTAAAGAAATCAAAATACTCAAGGACCTTGAAAAAAATCCTAGAATTTGCATATAGAAAATATTAATATGAATATAACAAAAAATCAGGAATATATTTCATAAATTTACAATTTTGATTAAGAAACAATTTCTAATCTATCGGTAAAAAAATGGTCTGCATTTGGTTCCCCATTGAGGAATAACAATGTGTACGTCATATCCAACGTTACCTCCACAAAGAACATTGGGACTTGTATATAGAGTCGTTAATATTGGCTAAGCCCAGTTGGATCATTCCTATATTATTTTTTCACGTTATTGGAGTATGCATGCTAGATATTTATATTAACATTTTAACATTAGAATTAAATTAAATTTATGTATTTATATTTTATTTTTCTTTTCTTAAAAGAGTTGGTTGGCTCGGCTTGACCCGCAACCCACTTAGTGATGTGTGGAGCCTGATGTGGCTCAATAGAATGGATAAATCAAAATATATTTTCTTTTTCTTTTCTTAAAAGAGTTGGTTGGCTCGGCTTGACCCGCAACCCACTTAGTGATGTGTGGGGCTTGATGCGGTTCAACAAAATGGATAAATCAAAATTTAGAAAAGAGTTCTTATGTTTATTTAATAAGAAATTTGAATTTTTTATTTTCATTATTTCTTAAAATACATGATATTTAATTATAATTTGATATTTAATTTTTATTTTTTCAATTGATTCAATAATCTAATTAGTTAGAACTTGAAATATATATATTTTTTTAAAAACACCTCAAAGAATTAAAGACAATCAATTGATTCAAATTGAAGTGAATGAGACAAATTAAGAAATAGAAAGTAACTATAAATTTTGATTGTCTTATCATTTTTACTTATAATTACATTGATCGTATTTTAAAAAAATTATAAAAAAAATTGAAAATATATGCCCTATAATTGAATTTTAATTCATACTAACATAAATATATAATTAGTTATATTTATAAATATTGAATAACTTTAAGACTATATTTATATATTGACAAATTAAGTTTAGAGTAGTCACCCCTACCTATGTACTTTCTAAACAAATAACATGCCATTTTTGTTTACCATGAAAAATACAATATAAGAAACTAAAAAATATAATTTGAAGTTTGAGATTGAGTTCTCGAACTATATCAAAAAATTATTTATATGTTCTCCAATTATAATATTTCAGAGGAACTGTACTATTCACTCAATAATCAATAGCACATCATCAACATATATAGCATTAACAATCCATTAGGATATCATTAATCTTCATACACTTCAATATGTTAGGTTAATGTAAAGAAATATTTATATTCATAATGACTTGATTGATTAAGAATAGAATAAAATGACGATAAGTAATCCAATACCCCTTAGAAACATTATCCACCTACCAAACTTTAAGTTGAAGTCTACTGTATATGCATACATAGAAAAATATTAGTGTTTTCTTTTTTTCCCCTTCTCATAGTAATAATTTTAATGTATTATTTTCTTTGACTTCATAGAGTAATTACATTATTATAATTGTAACAATTAGTTCAAGATAATAAGATATATTAGCCATGTGTTCTCAATATACATTGCTTTGGATGTTATTATAAAAATCTTTATTTGTTAATACAAAGATTCAAATAGTTTAGTATAAAGCTCTAAAATATTCCTATTAAGAACTAAGTATTTTTTCTTTCTTTTATTTTTAATACAATTGTATACTGTTTCTTTTGTTTTTTAGAATCTTCAATCTTGTTTAAGAGAAAATTAGATTATAAAATTAGCACTAAATAACTTTGCGGCCTCAAAATTTTAAGCGCCTAAAGTAAAGGCTTTTCTAGTCTCACCCTTAAGTCGTCCTTTGAGTTTTTTGGTTCTTTTTTTATTTTGTTTTTTATTTTTAATTGTATTTGCATTCTATTGTTTAATATCATTCCATGAATGTGAATGAAACTTTAAAGATGATTGTATTCTTACTTTTCTTTTCTACTTTTATTTGTCACTGTGATAAAAATAGATGTCTATTTATACTTATATGGTTTATAAAAGTAAGATATAATTTGTCACTTAATTCCTATCTTATCATTATTATTAACTATTGTCATGTTTCAATATATTTTTCAAATCATTGAATCTATTATGTTAAAAAGTACTATAATATAATTGTGATTTTATTTATTATTTCTTAAGGAGCGTGTCAAGTCAATACTAATCATAGGTACTGGTTTAGTTTTTTTTCTCCATTTTTTTCACACACAACTTTATGTTTCAAACTTTCAATATTTGGAAAACAATATTTCCTTTTCATTCTAATTTTTGTGGCACCTTTTAAATTTTTAAAGTTAAATTTGAATAGATTCAGACATATGATCTTTAAGTTTTTTGAATTAAAAGTTATGTTTATAAAAACTATATAAAAGGTACTACAAATCACAACAATTGATAATTCTAAAATATTTTAAAGGCGTTTCGACTAGCATTTTAAGATATATTTTTTCACTAAAAGGTGATATGAGAAAAGTTACAATTTATAGTATTTTTCATGTCATTTTTTAATATCTAAATTTTAAATATTATATTAATCCAATCTGATTTAATTGATAAAAATTAATCAAATTAACTACCAAGAATTAAAACATGACAAGTATTTGAAACAAATGGAGTAGTGAATCACCACCATATTTAAATTACGTGACTATTTTTGAAAGCTATGTAAATCAATTTGTAAAAATTCTATATAAGAGACAATTACAAATAGTTCATGACATTAAATTAGGATAATAGGTTCATTTGTTGAAAAAAAATAATCCATGTTTTTAAATCTGGAGAGATATAGGAAATAAGAGTGAACTTTGTTAATAGAATTAAATTGAAACCTTCCTTTCAACTATGAAAGATAGCGATTAATTTATCAGTTTGTACATAGAAATTTAAAACTATAACTGATGTTATTTGAATTAATTGAATTATAATTATCTTGGTTATTCTCTCTGTTTTTATTTATATATCGTCCTTACTAAAGATAGATAGTCCTTAATACCACCTCTATTCACTTTTAATTGTCATGATTTCGTTTTTTAGAGTCAAACTATAAGAACTTTGACTAACATTTTATGATGTATTTTTCATCATATTGATATGCAAAAAATTATAATTTATAGTACTTTGCGTATAGCTTTTGAATATCTAAATTTTTGTTTAAAAATATCGAATTAATGTAATTTAATTTAACTTTGAAAATTAGTCAAATTGACTTTCAATAAGGGCAACATGACAATTAAAAGTGGACGGATGGAATATTTGTCATTTTAGAAAATCAATGCATAAATGACACTATTCTTTCTATTTTACCCTTGAGGGTTATTAGCCTTGAAAATATGAATTTGACTAACATATGAAAATGAAATGATTAATTTATGTTCATTGGTCAATTAATTAATTAAAATAAATTAATTTATGTTCATTTATTGAAAACTTGACTATAAAGAAATATCAAATGAGGGTACAAATACAATAATCAACTCACATAGTTTTTTAAGGAATACGAAATCTAAAATAATGATTAATGACACACAAATAAAAACGGAGGGAATACTAAATTAACTTTTTCTTTTAGTATTGCGTGTGCTTGCCATCGTCTAGTTTTGTCGAAAAATCTAACCTAATTTTTTTCTTGACTTAAAATTTTGTTATTATTATTGTACTATAATTTTGTTGACTGAAAAAATGCTCCGGACTTCTATAATTTTGTACGGTATTAATTTTCTTATATGTATAATATTTCATTTTCATATATATTTTCTTGTTAGAAAAAAAATAATTTGTTAGCATACGCATGACACTTATTTTTTGATACAAACAAGTAGCAACACTTGAGTCTAAAATTATTCATTTATTTGCTAATTAGGAAGTAAACAACACAAATCCTACTAATTGAACGTCTAATTATGTGCGCTAGCACCATTGTCCATATACCTAGCATGATCTTAAGAAACTTGAAGGGAGAAACCAACAAATTATGGTGAAAAATTGTCTAAGCTTGTGTGGGATTAGGATGACCAAAGGAAAGGGATAATAGAGGTTTTAGAGGGTGGGGGTCCAAGTTAATGCACAACCAGATGTTGTAAAACACATCAAAAATTCAATAAGCTTGATCAAATATATTATAAGTCAATCTTTAGAAGATATCAAATCAAATTATTATTCCTTAATCGTGGGCTTCAGTGATCATTATAAAATACTTGGATGATCGGGTGGTAGAATGAAAGTTTTGTTAACATCATCGGTTAGCGATGAGTCATGTGGTACTTATTTCGAGGTAAAGATCATTGAACGCTAAAAATAGATGTTCGTTTTTGCATGCAAAGATTTTTGGAGGAAGCATAATTGCTTGGCCAAAGTTGACAAGTGTTTACTATGTTAAGAGTCACTTTGAGCCGGGGCAAATGCAGCCTAATAGCACCAAGTTCATCTAAATCCAATATTTCTGACGTGGAATATTTATGTATAAGAATTCATTGAAATTGCAATTGTAATAAGTTAGAGCCATAATTTTATAATTTGTATAAGTTCAATGCTAATAACCTTAAAAGTTGAACCCATAAAGCTCAAGTCCTGAATCTACCTCCGAATTTGAAGGCACTCACTCTTGCACACAACACACCTTAAGGTGGAGGTCGAGTAAAAAAAAAAAAACACACATAATAAAGGGCAACCCGTGCACTAAACCTTCTGCTATACACAAGGTCCGCGGAAGGGCCCGACCACAAAAATGGAAGTGCACTAAAACCCACACATTATTGAGAAAACAAAATGGTTGTTACCAGTAAGAACATAAATGTGCTTATCTATTCCAACTGGATTCTAACATGGACATTCTCCAGCATCACTTTACCCATGCTTCCAATAATTCCTTACTTGAAAATATAGTGTTTCCATTATGATTGGCATTACCATAACTACACAACACATGCCATTTGACTCCCTTAATTATTTAAAAAGAATTGATTTTTGCAACAACAAAAAAGGTCATCAACAATGTAGATACATAGATTTAAACTGCATCAAAGTATAGTAGCAATTCCAAAATCAGAAAAACAACTTAGTCGTTTGGAGATAAGACATCTGACAGATTGCTAAATCTAAGGGGTAGCTAAATTGGTCTAAGACACACCTTTTGGGAACACCAATAGTTCCTCATGTATCCCAAAAAACATAAAAAAAGGTAATGCCCACAAAAGTCCAGCCAAAGAAAGAAAGAATCAATGCTGATTTTTGTATTTGAATTCATTAGGACACCTAAGCAAACCCATGTGAGAAACAATCATCATCCTATTAAAATAAACAACTTGATTAAAGCAACTTTTTGGACAGTTGACTGGTGACAAATTGATCATTCTAGTTGGAGTATTTAATTAACAATGTGCTGACCATAACAAAACAGTACACAACTTTATGGCTTCATTATAATAGTAATGCAACTACATCTTGTTACCATTGTATTAAGACAAACAAAATCTATTTTTACTTTCTAGATCCCCCTGATGATTCGTCGAATCGACACAGTTAATCCACTACTAAAGATATGACTTTTTCCAGAATGCTTATACAGGTTGTGTCTAAGTTGCAGTAAAGGTTCTTTTTTATCTGGTGCATATCAACATCATGCTATAAAACAGATAGATGTTAATACAGTGTAAACTTACCACTAGAGGACAAAGTTCCAAATGGTAGAATGATAACCAACTTTTGGTCCTGTAATCTTTTGAAAGATGATTGATTCATTCTTTATATCCTATCAGCAAAAAGAAAAGCTTTAGGTAGGATTTGCTTACTTTTCTGGATCTTCTTGAGCTCTTTCGGGCGGCTAGAGGTAGGTAGAGCCTATATTTAAAGAGTCCAACTGAAATCCAGTATTAACCTAAACAGAATAAAAACATATATATGTATATATTTTATATATATATAGAGAGAGAGAGAGAGAAAGAGAAAACCACTAATACCTCAACAAATAATAAGTTCTGAAGCCATGATTTCAGAAGTACAATGAGTCCCGTCCTAAGAACCTTTCAAGTTTGAATCCTGGATAGGCATGAGAGTATGGCTTGACCATCTCTCTTCAGGGACAGTTATTTAGATTTCAGAAAAAATAAGGAAATTAACTGATCATTTACTCTGCTTCTAGAATATGCCCTTTGCATATGTAGATAATTAATAAAAACAAACATGCCAAGTGGGCAAACATAGAATTTTAATGGAAATATGAGTTGGAAGTTGGACTTCCAACTAGACATGCATTCAGTTATTATCCATGTCAAGTCAAAACCTTTCTGTATACATCTTCTTATCATTCACTGAATGCACTTACAAGTAACTTGCAAACAATATCATCAAATAACAAAACATAATACTATTATATAAAAAAAACTTCCACACAAACAGAACTCCTAGATACCTATGTTGCAATGATGAAACATGAGGAGATGTACAAGCTTATAAACTAACAACTCAAAGAATGATAACCATGCTTCTACTTTAACTTGGATCCAATCCCAACAAAATCCTTAACTGTAAAACCAACTTTCTCAAATTTACCATTCTCATTGGTCAATCTAAAGTTTAAATAGTCAGAGCAAACAAATGACTTGTAGATTCTTGAATTTTCTTCACCAACTACTTCATCAGGTGCCAAGATCACCTTCTCATCCTCAAAGCACCAAAAGAAAACTAAAGAAAAGCGGTTCACCGGCTTCTTCAGAATGACACGGTGCTCAGAGGATCTTAGTTTGTCATTGCTCCAAGCTTGCAGCATGTCACCAATATTTACTACAAGAGTTCCTTCACATGGCAAAATATCCACCCACTTCCCATCCTTTGATCTTACTTGGAGGCCACCTAATTCATCTTGATAGACAATTGTTATGCAGCTCATATCAGTGTGCATACCAAGGCCTTCAACTTCCTGTTCTAAACTATCCGGGGGCGAGTAGTTATTTATCCTCAAGTATCCATTGCAATTACCAAATTCTGAGACATAATACTTCATTCCAAGTTCTTCTCCCAAGCTCATCAAGACAGTTTTCTGGATGACTTTCGCTAACTCTGTCATTTTGCCTCCATATTCTTGCAGTATTTCACTAAGAAGGAACACCATGTATCAGAGAATTAAATCAACCGTAGAGACATAAGAGAAAGGAGAATCTAAATGTTCTAAAATAGAATTACCTGAATTCTGAATTCCCTTCACCAGCAAGGGTATCCGCAGAACCCTTAGCAGAGTCAGAGAAGTCTGGTCCAGACACTTTAAGGCTTTCAAAGAATGGAGATGCAATGAAATGAGGAGTATAAGTTTTCAAAGACGAGTAAGGACCTGCTTTTAGTTTGGTCTCAGAAGGGAGGTTGAAGAGGTGTTTGGAGAGGCAATTAATTTTTCTGTAAAGATCATTGGAGATTCCATGATTGATAACATGAAAGAAGCCCCATTCTTTGCAGGCAGCAGCAAGAGAAGATAGAGTAGATGAGTTTGATGGTTGGGAGATATCCAAAATAGGAAGTTGTAATGGTGATTGGGATTCAAGAATCATTTTTTTAGAAGATGCTAAATATGTTTCTTGGTTAATCAAACCTTTAAAAGGACATGTAACTCTTCATTAAAGTTAATTTCAGAAAAGTCTCTTTCTAGTAGTTAAATTATTTATCTCATACATACATACATGCATGCAACACACATATTTCAACTTTTTAACTTCCATTTGGTGGAATATATTATGCGAGCGGATGTGACAACTGTGGCAGCCTTTTTCAGCTTCAATTAAAAAGTATGTTCACAAGTGATTGGCAATGATACTTAGGCATAAAACAGATATTCCTGTGCTTGAAGGATGACTTTGCATATTTGTGGAAGTCAATTCAAAGTGTTGATAGCTTTTAAAGTTTAATCTTAAGTTTCTGGTGCTTGTTGCAGCAACAAGCAAGTCATGTTTGAATTCATGGTCAAATTACAGTTCAACTTATCAACACAAAATTTAAAAATGATAGTTGTTGGTTCAGTATTTCAAGGATATAGAGTCCCACCTGACACCTAGTTTTCTTACATTAACTTTTAACAGAGATGCATAGGAACAAACTTCACCTATGCATGTTTCACAAATGACAAAGAGACTAAAATGTTATCTTATCCGCATTTAAACATGTAACTATTTCTTTGTGCACATAAGCAAATTTGTTCACTTGAGAGTAACATGAGTTGTTATTTGTCTTGGATGTTTTGGGAACAGACAAATTAGGGACTGTGTATTATAGGACTACTGCATGTACTATTACTATTTGATAGATAAATTGTTACTCTTTTGAAACCAAAAATAACCCACTCTTGATCTGTCGAATAAAAGCATGAGTTGTTAATGTGACGGAGATCAGTAACTGTTAAATTAAAGGTCAACACTTGCCTTCGCCATTAAATATGTTTCCTCCTATTTCCTATCTTAGGCATCTCTAGTTACAAAAATTATATGAGTAATAGTACTTTCTGATTGTTTTAGGGATAGTAGAATTAAAGAAGAGAACACCACATCTTTTCTACAGTGTTATTGCTTCATTAAAGCAAGCTCTTGCTTTTTCTACCCCTCTCTTTTTATCCCCTTTCCTTTCATGTTCTCAGTAGTCAAACTTGAATGCGAAGTGAAATCTTTTATAAATCTAAGCACCTATTAGATATAAACAAACAATCATCACATTCATAGTATCTGGTCAGAACCAAGTATCCAATTAGACAAGAAACTCTGAAATCCACTTAATTGACCCATAGAGTAGAATTTATGCAGAAGAAATCCAAAATGATTCCTTACAAGTATATACCGGGAAAAAGATAAATGCATATGAAACATCCAGAACAATCAGATTGGGGTTCTAATTCTAAAAAGGGAGGCGGCACCTGAATCAATCAAAAAGCTTATTGAAATTGAAGGGAACTAAGACGATTAGCTTAGCTAGCATTCCGAGAGAATCTATTCATTTAGTCTGTTCATTGCTATCCTACAAGAAATAATGGAAGGGATAAATATACATATTTTATTGAAAATCATTAGTAGTAGACTAAGTAACAAGTTTAACTACTTGTAGAATTGCAATTGTGAGAATTCAAGGGCATGCAGAATTTGAGCTCACTGCTAAACTAGTTCTTAGATATTTTTGGTGCCATCCACCATTTGTAAATGCATGCATAAGTATTTAACCTTGATTAGGAAAGAAGAAGAGACAAGTGATTGTACTAATTGTGTTTAGGATATTAGAATACCATCATATCCCTCCTTTCCACTCCTAAAAAGGGAGAGTTTTTTATAAGATTTTGTATGATAGGAAATAAGTTGAAATGTTATATGTAAGGTAACTGTTAGAATAGAAATAAGTATTTCCTACTTAGAATAGGAATATGAATAGGAATAGGAATAGGAATAAGAATAGGAATCCTAGTTGGAAAAGGATTCCAATGTAGTGTCTATAAATAGGGTCTCAATGTAACTATTTAGAAATACAATTCAATAATATTCTTTTCCTATATTTCTCACATGGTATCAGAGCATTGGTGAGAACAAACAAGTCACCGTATGTCTATGTCAATTTCCGGTGACTGTTGGATCTGATTTTGCTATTCTTTTTTCTTTCTGTGGTGTTGTGCGAAAACCAACACCACCACGAGGCTCGGAAAGCCCCCGCGACCAAACCCCAGCCAAAACCACCGGAAAACACCACCCCACGCGCTCTCACGCGCCAATCGGAGGTGGTAGTTTCCGGCGAGATCTGTCTCACGCGCCGGCGCGTGAGGGCTTTTCTGATCATATTTTTTGAGAATTTTTTTGACAGTTGGGGTCGTCCAGCCATTCCGACCAGGCCCATACTGTTTTTGACCAGATCCGATCACCGGAATTAGGGTTCCGGCAATTTCCAGGCTGTTTCCGGCG